ATAAATTACCTTTCAATACAAATCAATAGGAAATGTGTTTATCATTTAATTGTGTAAATTATTTCACACAAACTCTTCATTGCATTTAATTTACACTTCATTTCAAAAACACTCATTTTTAACAAAATTAATTACAACTAAACACTGAATTAAATAATAAAAGTGTTAATAAAATTTAACGTGTATTCCAATAGCAAATGATTAGATGTGTTTAAATTAAACAAACTTAAAGACAAATGAAATGATTTTATAAAACACTCAAGAACTCAGCAAATATAGCATTTACATGCTTTTTAAATGACCAATAAAAGGGTATCTAATATTTTTATATTTGTAACCATGTTATTAACCTTGTTTATAATCTCTATCACTGGCTTATAGTCTATCTGTTTATGTCCATCCCATGCACTGGCAGTACAAATATGTCACTTGTATGGCAACCAATACATCCCAATATCACTCAAACCATATCTTTGGACAAACATTTTATAATCGCATTATTTTTGCCGGAATTTAATCAATAAATTAATCTCAATCCCAAGACTACATGTGTTTTAAGTTCAATACCTATTAATAATAGGCTATTATTTTACAATAATTTTATGAAATTTATAATTAAATTTTACACGAACTTAATTTTAATTAATACTATATTAAAGTTATCTAAATTTTAGCTTTTAAAATTATAATTTATGATTATGTAGTTGTTTACTAAACATTTACATATTATAACTAGTTTAACAATGCTAATACGTGAAATGTAAATAACATTGTATTTACTGTTATTACATAAACACATTTAGTGTACATCTGTTTTAATCATCAATGGATTCATCACTGGATTAAACTCTGTTTTATTATTATAAATAAAGTTATACCAAAAATATTGCCTGTAATTACAGTATTAAGTTAGTGCTATTAACACAATTAGTATTATAAAATTATCTCGTGTTTTATTTATTATATAAACTGTACTTATTATAAAAATATTTTAAATGTTACAATTAAATGTATGAAATAATTTACACAATTAAATGATAAACACATTTCCTATTGATTTGTATTGAAAGGTAATTTATAGCATTAATAATGAGTTGTTATTTATTGTCAATCAGAATAATAATAATTTATTATTTGATTTGGACTTGAATTAGACATTTGTGTGGACACAAGTAGTGATGTCTTCGTGAGTGTTGTCTTCACATTCTTCTGGATGTCATCGAGTGATAGGTTTGTATGGATTGTGACAAACCATGTCTTCAATTGTCACAACTGTTGTGTTTCTTCAGCCAATCGTTGACTTATGAGTCAATTGTCGAGTCGTTTGTGTCCACACTATTGCCCCCAAAGAAGGCATTCAAATGCCATTACAATGAATGCCACAAATGTTTCGCAACTCAAAGCCGATTGGATGCACACAAAGGCCGCAGACATGCCGTACAAGACATCATTCTTCGGGAACCGATTGTTAGCTCAACCGATGCCAGAGACCAGTCGCCAGACGTTGTGGCGAACACTGTCCGACCGGTGCGGACAACCGATGCCATCGTCTCGATAGACATGTATATTAGCCGTTGTTTTGAGCCATGAATTGATTGTTTGTGTACTTTATATGTCCAGCGATTCTGACTCTGATCTCGAAGTGATTGATGTTTTGCCGACCGATAATAGCGGACAACCGGTCGATACACTCACTGGCCGTTCACTACCGACCACTGGCCGCATATCAAAGCCCAAACACACGGATACGGGTCAGCACTCGTCCACTACTGGCCGCGAAGCAAACCGTCGTATTGTTAAGTAATTAGTAATTAAATAACAGTTAATTAACAACACATTAATTATGCGATTATTTTTGGCCACAAATAGTATCTCCGATACGAGTAGTGATGAAAACGATGGACACGAAGACTCGGCCGACAGTCGACCGCCAGCGGTGACCGTCGACGGCGTGCGTCACGACTCGTGTCACGCGTGCGATATCGACGGCTGCGGACAAGTGTTCGTATGGAAGTGCGATCTCTCTGTCCACCGGACAACTGTCCACCAAATCGGTGCTCATCAGCCGTTTCCGCGCGACCGATGCCGGCATTGCTTCACAACTGCGGCCGACTTGGAGTCCCACCGGAGGGCACGCCATGAGACACCTGTCGACCGTCGCCGGCGACTGATGGCCGCCATAAAGTCTAATCGACTATCGGGTGGTCGAGTGTCCGGTGGGCGGCGATCGGCCGCTGGCGAGCACTACTTGTGCCGGTTTTGCGACAAAATATTTGACACAAAGGCTCAGCGCAATAGCCATCGGCTCCGACACCACGTGACGATTGACGCCGACTATGGCTGCGATTGCGGCAAATGTTTTAAGTCTATGGACGCTCTCGAGTGTCACCGACAGGCCGTCCACTCCGGGCCGCGACTGACGGACCACTTCTGCGATAAGTGTGGCAAAGGTTTCCGTACTTTGGATGCTATGAATCAACACAAACGCCATAAACAGCACTGAATTTAACCATTTATTACCACATGTTTTGTTGACATGTGTTTATTGTTTGATTAAATTGTTTGTAAACATTGATTTTTGTAATTAAATATTTTATTTCACTATTAATTAAATGATTGTTCAAATGTTACATCGAATATAATAAAACAATACCGCATATAATACTGCATAAAAAAATACTGTTTGAACGGTTGATAAAAAAAAAAGTGATTACAATACGACTACAAAAGTGGATACGAGTCACTCATCATCACTGAGACTGATCTCTTCGATGACGATATCATTGGCGGCGACCGGAGCTGAGACGGCGGCGACCGGGGCTGAGGCGGTGGCGGCGCCGGTCGTGTCCATCGGTGTCACCCGCGGATGCGTTCGCGCGATGTGTTTGACGAGACAGATGTGACCCTTATATTCCTTACGACACTCCGGGCACTGAACTGTCGGCCCATAAAACACAACAAATGAACAATTGATGTAAAAATTAATGACAAAATCAACAATCAATTCATAAAAAGCATACATTTATTGGGATCTCTGGTCATATCGTTGGCCATCCGATCGATGACTACTCTCTGGGCCCACATGTGTCTCACTCTGTCGGCTGCGGCCGCCGTCTGGGCTTCGGTCATGTCCTGCAACTCCCGATTGACGCCATTAATCGCTCGCCGGGCGATGTCTTCGACAATGTCTGCCACCACAGCGGCCGACGACTCGTACATGGCTTCGACTCTTTGGAGTACAAACTTATTGCTCACGAGTTCTCTGTTCTGTTTTGGGTGACAATCAATTGCAAGACATTATCATTGAATGGTTGGTCACTGAAATGGAGCGATACTTACGCTAAGATTGGCCGACTCGCGCCACCGCTTGCACTTCTGCTTGAGTGCCGCCAACTCCATGTCCTGCGCGGCCACTGTGTCCTCGAGTTGGGCCACCCGTTGCCGACTGGCCGTCAACTCCTGGTCAGCCCTTTCCATCAGCTCCTCATTCCTCCTCTTGTCCTCCTCTAAGTCGCGGATCTTCTTCCGGAACCCATCGATGGCGGCCGCGGAGGGCGCCGGCGGTCGGCGTCGGCCAGACATCACTATTACCTCTGATTGTAATGAAAATAATTAATTTAATTAACAATTCATAAGATTTTGTGAATTACTATACAATCGAGAGATGAGTGCACTCTTTGGTCACTGGATTCACTTTAACCGTACAAATCGTTTAACGGATTAAGTGATTAACGGATCGCTGAAACCACTATTCAATAAGCACTCGATGTGTTGAACTATGACTATAACTGTAATGTGATATCACGTGTCAATTCATGAGTTCAATGCAGGCTTTAGTTTCATGTAATGAATGTATTGTGTGTTACAGTAGTGTAGTGTCAGTGCATTCACACCCCTCTCCCCCACCCCTCCCACGCGTCGGCCAATGAGTGAATGGCACAGCATTTCATCACAAGTAGGCAATACTTATGGACCAAATGCTATGTGCAGTACATTTGTGTACATATTGTGTAAATCTTTACATCACTCACACAAAGAGAGACATTTGATTGATTGCTTCAATTGATTGCAAACCGTTTTGTTCACAAATTAACACTATATTTGACCACTTTTTCAAAATCACTGTTTTTTGTATACTTTTTATACAACGCTTTAATGCATTGATTGAGAATCACATCATTTTGTTGTCTGATTTTTATTGCATTTGCCTTCAAATCAAACGTAAGTTTTATATATTTATATCTTTATATTTAAATCCATTATTAATGTTAAACCATTTGATCGGTTAATAGCGTTGGCCTAACACTCGGTATGTCTGACCATCACTACAGCGACAGCTCTTCGGACGAGGAATCGCTTCCAACACATGAAGACTACATCGAAATGAAGGCATTGCGGACCCGAATGTGGCATCGGTTGGGCCGACCCGACCGCTGGGGCCGCGACGTGAAGCCAGTGGTGGAA